TGATAAGATCATGGTTCATGAGTATCAGGTTCAGTGAGAAAACTATGGGGGGGGGGGGGGGGGGGGGGGGGGGGGGGAAATTGCTGGCCGGGAGAGGTTAGGGCTTGTGCATTGGAGTGTAGTATACTACCTCCTCCACACGTGTATTATCGCCCGGAGGATGGTGGAAACTTTCTGATCTATTTGTAAATTTCCCTGTTGTGTTTTCCCTGGATTATGACTGTTTTTCTGAGGACAGTAAAATGTTGACTGTGTATGTGTCTCTAGGGCTCTAGGTAGGTGTGTGTGTCTTGTGGTGTTTGGGCACGAAGGTACTGGCTCAAATTAACAACATTTACTGTTTGGAGTGAAGATTGTCGCGAATTAGTGGCTAATCCACCTGTTCACTCAGTAAGTGAATTGCATGCTTACTTTTGACTCAAACTGAGGGGACCCGGGCAGCGTAAGCTATGTTCTAAATAACTTTAGCAAGTGTAGAATATCGTCGAGTAATCACAAATATTTTTACATTCTGAGATGCATTTCCAAGAACAAGATCCCTGATACAATCATCCTTGTTTTCAACTAATTATAGCCGTTTGATGTCTTACCACTTGTGAAAAGTTAGTAAATGGCTAAAACATTTGTTGGTTCATGTCAGTAAGGTCATTGGCACTATTAAGCGCAATGATTGAGTTCGAGGAATTTCATTGGGAGATGTTTTCTTCAAGATTTGCTAGGAGCAATTATCTCTCAATTACCTCGCCAAGCCGTGCGAGGCCGGTGACGATCCCGTTCACCGAGGGCCTGAAATGTGTACTGGACACCATGAGACTGGTATGCTACCGGAGTGCTTATTATAGGTGCTGGGCTCACTAGGTCAGATGGAACGACCTTACAACTCGTGAGTGGCATAGAAAATATAGCCGACCCACGTCGACACTGTTGATCGACTGTTGTACCGTTATTGTTTGTGTCTTGTGTTAGTGGCATGATTATGTTCAAGGATCTCGTTCTTTTACAATATGTATTCAACACAATGCATCAAAATATTGCTTACCTAAACAGGCCCCGGTCCAATGAAACTTGGCACCACACATAATGTTAAAATGTCACAATTGTTAGTTCTGTCCATCACTTCCTGGTACGTCACTCCACCACTGGGTCCAGGTGTAACCATCCGCTCGTCTCTCCCAACGCCCCTCCATTGTAAGCCCGGAGTGGTCCGTGGATGTGCAACCGTCTGCACCGTTCCGGATGTGCAAAACGTCTGCACCGTTCCTCCCGACTGTAATCTCCCTCACAGTGGAAGGTGGAAGTTCTCGTGCAACCGCTGCACCACGTCACTTCACTTGTGCGACCGCCGCACAGTTCCACTTTACTGGCGCAACCGCTGCGCAACCGTTTACCTCGCTTGTGCAACCACTGCACGCCGTCACCTGACAATGCCTTTTTGGCAGTCGTCAGGGAAGATCGTACCCCGCATCTCCACCACATATCCAAGGTATTTTTAAAGACGCTAATCGCCGGTAATTGTTATCAATTAGAAGTGGCAATCGGTGTACCTCTTCACCTGAACTACGGTAATCCCCTCGTTCTTGGTGCTGACAATGTCAGTACCCGAGGGCCTTGGACCTATTTACCGTAGTTCCTCCAACAAGCACAAAGAGTGATTTTCGTTTTAACAGCTTTTATTCCCACTTTGTGTTGCCGGTCAACCCACTCTAGTTGTCACTTGAATACGAGACTTCTGCCGCAAAGCTTCAGTCTCAGTCGAAATGCTGGTGCTTAAGTTTAGTTTCTGGTTCGAAAGATCGTGACAACAAGCCGAGAACCAGTCCAGATGTCGTCTCCCCAGCCGCTCTCCCGATCTGGAGGCTTTTTGGCCGAGAGCGGAGCACCAGTCCTGATGTAGTCTCCCCAGCCGCTCTCTAGCCACTCCCTAGCCGTTCTCTTAGCCGCTTTTTTGATCTGGGGCTTTTCCCCCTATTTAAACCGGTACCTACGTCACAGTTCTACTCATTTTTCCATGTATCATTGTCAACCACCTTTCCCCCCTACACTAGATCATTCTAACCCATTCTTGACTAACCTCAAGGTCCTTTTTAGGACTTGTGGTAATGTGACCACCTCAACCCCCGGAATCTGGACTATTCCCCCCAAAACCATTTATGAACCCGAGGGCAATTTCCTCTACGTTTCCTCTCCCAATCTATTTTGTCTCTGGCAAACTGCACATTCCCTTGCTATGTTACTTTTATTGTTTTGCTCTAGTACTCCGACCCTCGACCCACTACTGTCACCCCTGGTTATGAGTGGCCCAGTATGTTTCCTGTGCTCTTCAACTCCTACATCGACTGCCCTCAATATATCTTCCCATGTGTTATACCTATATCTTACTGTTTTAGCCCCTCATATTGCCTACTTATATAATTACTGTAGCTGTCCTAATGAGTTGCTAATTTCCATTATTTCATGCCTATAATACTTCTAGGGACTCAATCTATACTGACAAGTTCTTCAACATTTCAACAAGCGTCAGAAATGTTAAGAAAGATGTCTTCTTTAAATCTATAACCAGACATCACAACAATATTATCACGTTTCACAATTTTCTTCTAGATCACAATTCCGTCATGCAACTGCCTTTCCCGATTCACTTACAAATAAATAACAGGGAATACCAAGTCTCGAGTATAGTACAATTTCGCTATTGAAGTTTGGGTCCCAAGCAGTGTGACCGCCTAGGTGGTCTAGGGGTAGAGCGTCCGCCTGGAGAGCCGAAGGTCTGGGATGGATCCCCGGCTGCGTCATACCAAAAGACGTTTAAAGATGATACTAATTGTTACCCTGTCTGGCACTCGACCTACAACGTTTAAAACAAGGAGTGGTCCGCTCGGAGTCAGTGTACTGTGTCTCAGTGAGGTATTCATGTTAAACTGTGGCATGATGTCTCGGTGGTCTAGCAATATGAATCAGCATCAGTCCGGTATAATACAAGCAGCCATACACACGCACCCCCCCCCCCCCCCCCCCCCCCCCCCCCCCCCCCCCCCACACACACACACACAAACGTGCAATCACATCGCTGTATAAGTGCAATAATCTTGGATGCGATGTTAAACCCTATTTCACCTCACCTCACAACAAGGGGTGTAAGTGCTGGCTTTCAGTTGTCCATTGCTAAACTCCTAACAGCGCCATTCAACTGTTGGCTCCTTGTCATGTTTCCAACCTTGTTAAGTTATTACTTATGTTGTTCTTGTCGGAACATATACATGTTCCCTGCATTAATAGCATTAATTTACCTGATGAAGGAGTAAGAATATATATAACCTGAAACGTTGTGTTTCTCATGATAAAGAAGTTGACATCCATATATGTTTTTCTCATACCTTTATGATTGACTCCACAGTATTATCTGCTTGTCCATTTGTGAGGAAGAGCAGTCATTTTGATTTTGTTGTGCACATTTTTTGTTTGTTTCTTTGTCTATTCCATAGGGCTTTACCAATCATACCCAGAGTCAGTAATGACAGTTGTATATGCATTTTTATACTGTTTATGAATTTACTTTAGAAATTGACCTTCAAAGTAAATCATTTACTTATAGGCAAACCATTAGTAATATACTATATAGAAAAGGTATTTGCAAACGGTGATATGCATTGGTTGTAAAAAAGTTATTATTAATGACACTGAAAATGAAAATGTACAATTCTCCATTTTGACAAAATGGGGTGAGGGATAACACATTACCAGATTGTTAAAAAATCATAAAAGTTTTTTGGGGAATATGAACACTGCCGTCTCAAAAGACGTGTCTGCTGATTTTGCGATATCAAATGGGTTGGTTGATGATAATAATAATTCATAAAGGGTTCATTTACCATTTTTTGGCTAATTACTTAATTGGTGAGAGGCTATACTTTTAAAAAAACTAAAATAAAAACTAAAATAACTATACTTTTAATAAAAATCAGGTTTCAATGCTTCCGCTACCTTTTAAAGGGACTTTGATTTAGTCGTCAGTTACGATACGTACACAGTGAAAGACAAATCGTGGACCAGCATGGCACCTAGCTATCAGAACACAGAAGAGTGAATCTGGATTTATCCAAAACAAGTAGGGAATATTTGAAAATAACAGACTACTACAGAATTCCAAAGAGGTATCAAGTGACGGTAATGGATGAATCAGAGTGAGTGAGTGAGTGTAGTTTCAAGCTGCTTTTGGCAATACTCCTGAAATAGGACGTCAGGTGACCAATGTAGGAAATCGAGTAGGCGCGATGAGTGAACGCATGATGAGTGAGAGGCATTTAGAAGTTGGAGTACTGAGCGAGGATAAGATATATGGATGATCAACTTCTTTATTACAATTAGGAATATCGAATATGATAACAATTAATGCATTGAAGCAGTATTGTGGATAATGAACAGCAATAATACCAATCATTACCTTTCACTGAAATGTCAAAATCAAGAATGACCCCTACCAACAAAGGTATTTCCCGGACCACATGCAATGTTTCGGGTGTGTTGGGGCATTAGATTTTGGTTCCGCTAAAGTTCTATCTCTGGCAGTCATTTTGTCAAAGCTTATCTTTCTCCTAATCATAACATTTATCTTTCACTGTCACCTACTTTATTGGAGAGTGTATGGGGATGTCCAGCATTCCACATGCTGTTTTCTCAGTAAATATAACCAAATGTTTTCAATCAGGAAATTAATATCGGATACGATTCTATGAATGAGGATTTTATATGAAAATATACAGTAAATACAAATGGTGGTTAACTCTGTTTTCTTAACAGAGAATAGATCCATTCAATCTGTTTGACATTCCCTTTCGTCTGTCTCAGTGAGAAAGATTTAGATGCCCTTTCCCTAAAATTCAACTGAAAGGATCAACTTTGTGTTATTGTTTGCGAGCATCTGTTAAGTTGCTGAAGACAACTCAACCCTACATCCACACTATGAAAGGTGTAACACACAAACCTGAAAATATTCAACTTACCCCTATCTTTCTCAGTTCCTATTCGTAGTTTTCTCCCCTCAAAGCGTTTGTTATTGAATATATAACAAAGTCCTGAAAAACAGAATAGTTTTCCGTGTAAAGCCATTTCAATATACCTTAACATCGTTCAATATTGGAAACACAGTACGTTTATCTCCATTTTACCATCACAAAATTAAAAAAAGCAAAAATATTGAGTGGAGTGTGTTGAACTGAAGCAGCGAATATGCATTTCATAACCTATAATTGTTTCCATTATGATTTAAAAATAATACTTGGACAATGTCTGCCAAAGTACTTTTCATTACATATAAGCTTACGCTGTGATACAGCCGTCAAATCAGCTGTTTCAGTCAGCAGTGGTTATTGTGATTTGACACCTCTGATTAACTCATCAGAATTGAGTAATTTTCATGATAGAATTCTTCACAATTTGTACACAGTGTTAGATTCACAAACAAGTCATTACATTTGAGGATACAGTATTCTAAGGGACCAAGGATTTTTTTTTCCTTCAAAACATTTTTTTATACATAGATAGAAAGTCACGCAGCTTTTAACAGTATACAGTTATATCACAGAGTGCCTGGTGCGAGGAAAGTCCAAAGTCATGCAGGTATCAGACGTTTACCATTTTGGTCAAACCCACGAGCACAAGCATGGTGCCCACAAACCTAGAAACACGTTCGGGGCGATTTGGGATTTGAATAAACAATCATACAATCATAGGTTTCTGGACTGCCCAAAGGACGCAACTCTGCACAATGAATCAAGGCGCCTTAGACGACTGGGCCACCCATGCACCAATAAGTACAAAGATATATACTATATACACACATAATCTTTTATAGTAATATACATAATCAAATGGCTGGCCCCTTATAACAAACCTCGTTGAATACTTTAACAATGTACTGCAGGTTTGTCCACAGCGGCTATTTGCCTGGAAATGAATAATGAATATACAAGCACCAACCTCTTGGCTCTGAGTCCATTTTATAGCAATCCTCTTGCATCTTGGTTCTTTTCTCATCTAAAGTAAGCAAACAGCTTAATGTTAGTACATGCGTCAGCGTGTAGGTTTAGTACCCTAAAACCGCAAAGTTGTTTACATCATGGAAATTGTTTGTTATGTTTGTTATCATCGGCGATGATGACTGTCTCTGTACATGCCATCACATACATATGTAACAGACCTCAACACAATCACATCCTCTATACACTCATATATGTATTTTAACCTACCTGGAGGCTGTGCCTTATGGCCCGTCCTCCAACCACCCTCAGAAGCAGCCATATTTTCTTCTGTATACTGAGCGTCGCCAGTGGTACCTTTCACTTTAATGTAAGCATCCTCTTTATTTGTTTGCCGATCGTCTGATGTTGGTGCCTCTGAAAGAAATATAATAGACACGTACGTAATTATTTGTAAAGTGAACACTTATACTAGAAGTTTCAATTCTGTTGGAAGTCCATTACTTCCACATAAGACAAACTGGCTTGGCCTGTCGATATTGCCACTGTAAATAAACGTAACATGTGAAAGGCATTTAGAAGTGATACACATCAGGAGTTGAATTTAAGGATGTCAACTTCTTTATTATGAGGAACATAAATTTTCTTCCTTATAAGATGGATGATTGACTATACTATGCTCATGTTTGTTTATTGTCTAAAGTGCCGTCTAAAATGCATACACAGGTGGCTAAGTCGTCTAAGGCCCAATGATCATTGATCAAAGGACAAACGTCTAAGACGTGTAGCTGGGCTTGGTATGAGACGTCAAGCCTATGGGCTGCTAGTCAAAACATGAGGCAGGTTTGGATGATGACGGTGAAGTTTATTCTGAATCAGGTGAAGGGGGTTGGGAGCTGTAAGGGAGAGTCCCCCCTCCATAAGAGTTCATGCAGAATTACAATATTGACATTTGTTTGGTGTTTTTGCAACACTGCACACAGCAATATTCCAGCTACATGAAAACGGTAAATATTTGAATTGATTAATGACATGAGCATAAATTCATGGAATAGGGATACGATGGCATGCCTCAACACTGATAGTGTCGATTTTCTTTATATATAGAATATTCAGGGGTATACACTTCTCAAACAAGGGTAGAAATACCAGTTGTTACTACAAGGACAATGAATGTCACTCAATGTACATTCAAAAGTGTTCACTTCCACGACAAGGTAATTTTCTCACCAGATATTTAAAAAGAATACCCTTTAAAATCTTACCTAAACATCATAAATTGTTGACAGAATTTGGTCTCATGACATCAGTGTTTAGTGCTGTATTACTTCACAATCTTACCTAAACATCATGAATTGTTGACAGAATCAGAATCAACAGTAAAGGCCTTTTTAACATATATAACATAATCACAGACTTACATGTCTACTCTACACAAGGCTCACAATGGGCCTAGTTGCAAAACTACCTGCATCACTGTTCTACTTTCTGTTTATGCCAAGGGATGTTATCTGATAACACTTGTTACACACTTGTTACTCTTATCAGTGTGGTATATCAAATCCATACCTTTACATTTTTAATTATAGTGTTATTTCCAATAATATTAAATTAAATATGATTTATATCAACTAATGTTCAAATTTATAACTTTTGTCTTTGCAAAAATAGGACTGTGTCATTGTCTCCTGCCTCCAGAATATCAGTGTTTAGATGTGAGCTGTATCTCTACTTCGCATATATTCGAAAGGCCACTGTTAGAAAATGTACATTTTTTTATAGTGCACTGGGTGTCCCTTGGTCAACCCTTCCTGAAAGTGTGCGATAGAGATTAACCATTGGGGATTCCGAATCAGAACCGGCCCCAAACCACATCTGCGACAAAATGAATCCAGGGGCTTGGCTCTGTGACTTGGCTGATTGCCTATCATCATACCCCGACGTCACTGGATGTTCGTCATAATATCAACCTCTGGTTTATCTATTCCAGACTAGACCATTTACATGCCGCCGTCATATAACTGAAATATTTATGACTGAGGCATTAAACAATAATCTTGCAACAAAATAAAGATTTAATTAAAAGTACAATAATTATTTTGAACGACAAGAGAGCCTCTATTGTGTGTGGAACAAATTATATTTTCGCATCATTAAAGAATTCTACAAAAATATATACATGTACGTGTACCAGTTCGAAATTCCAGAATATGGTGTCATTTTTAAATTTGACTGTAAACCACAAACTGAAAACTAATAAAAAAACAAATGAACCCTAAAAAGCCAAACTAGAGTACAAATACGTCAATACCTGCGGTAAAGAGTTCTACATTTAACATCACATTTCTTTGTCAACAAACACTTACACGTACTCCGTGCATCCATAACAGATACACCAGACATTAAATGGCAAAAATGACGCTTGCAGTCACAGGTCCAAGGAGTCATACATGAAGATGCAAAACACACGTCCTTCGGCGCCCAAAGTTATAAAAATCCATCCCATTCGAAGCCATTCAATGTTCTCAATGCTAAAATTCTGACCACTTTGCCACAATATTTAAAAATTACGCATTGTTCATAAAATGTAACTCACCTGACACAAGAATGGCTCCTGTTTTGTGTCAACTGTAACGCCAAACGTCATACTGACGAACACAAATCACGTGCCCTCATTAAATAGCAGCGCCTTCTAATAATTAACAAATGTATCTCACAAACAGATCTAGCCAAGCCTGCCATTATCCAGGATCACTACACAGCAAGACCAATTTCAAGCACTTTGAGTTTCCGTGCACAAAGATCTTTAGAGCTTCCTCCCCGAAAACCACAAAGACAAACCTCCCTCAACAAAAAAACGACTTATTACCACCCCTCAACCACACACACACAAAAAGCGAACTGACACCTGCTCATAAAAGTCTGCAATCAAATAGACAGAACACAAATACAAAACGCGGAAACTTTTAACACAAAAGTTGCAAACAAACTACACGAAATAGCCAGTAAATGTATACCTACATCGAAAACAAAATACACACACAACCCGGTCCCATAGTGGAGCATTGAGATCGTTAATGTAGACAAAAAAGAAAAGAGGGAAAGTTCAAATCCCCAATTGGTAAAACACATAGGAAATACACGCAAGAAACTCTCCAGGCACATGAGCAAAATCACTGGGGACATTTCTGTAGCTCCTTATATATTAACAAACCAGAATTCTAGAATATTGTGGGAAACAATTAAAGCCCTTAAATGCACCATTCCACTAATATTCAGAACTTCAGAACGACAAACAAAGAAATGTCAATGCAGTTGCTGTACCCTTCTCGAAATCAAGCAGCTCCACCAACCATCCATTCAAATTTCAAATTTTGATTAATAATTAACCCAAATTCACTCAAAAGCCAGCGTGCACTCATTTAACATACAACCAAACATTAAACTGATAAGAATTACAAACAACACCAAAAACAAAAATACAACCTCAGCAAATGGACAAGACAATATCAGTTACATCATTCGAAAAAACTTCCTTTCCAAATTTCAAAAGTTACTTTTACAGTTTTGAGTCAAATTTGGATATCTGGCACAATCCTCAAACAATGGAAATCAGCCATGGTGGTACCAGTATTTGAACCAGGGAAACCAGGAAATGAGCCGGACTCTTATCGTCCTGTATCGCTTACCTCCCACATTTGTAAAATCATGAAATCTATCATTAAGAACCTGCTCAAGTTCCAAATTTCTCAAAACAGACCTCATTAGCCGTGACAAGAGCGGCTTACTCCAAATCGTCAAACATAAGATCAAATTTTACATTTTAGGTACGATGTCTGGACAGAACAAGCACAAATTCAATACACATTGTCCATATTTATAGAGTTTAGCAATCCCGTCGACTTGGTTTGGTATTATGGTCTACTTATAACACTAGAAAATAAAGCCAAAAATGGACGAATTCTAAATTTCATTCATTTTTTTTTAACTGACTGGAACATAACAGAGTAAAATCAAACAACACCTCATCTGAAACCTACTCTTTAGATAACAGCACTCCACAAGGATGCAGCGGCCACGTGGCCCAGTCACCTAAGGCGCCACGTTTCGCTGTGCAGAGTTGCGTCCCGTGGGCACGCCAGAGACCTATGATTGTGATTTGTCAGCATCATACCCGTGCTCTTGGGTTTCACCGAAGTGGTAAACGTTTGAGACATGCATGACTTCGGGCTTTCCTCCCACATTAAGCTGACACGTCGTGATATTACTTGAATACTATTAAAAGCAGCGTTAAACCCAAATCACTCACTCACAAGGATGCATATTGTCGCCGACACTCTTTTATCCTTTAGCCTGCTGAATTATTTTCACACTTCTTAATTACCCCTGCCTGCTGGATTAATTTTAGCATAAGGCGCTCTAAAGAGGGTGAGTGATTTCAAACTGTCGGTGCCTCATTAAACAAGGGCCAATTGAAGAATATTTTGCACATTTATTCCTGATAGAACACTACACAATACTATATAAAAATATCCCGATGTTTTCAATCATACCAAGGTTAAGACCAAAGCGAACACAAAATTTGTAAATTTTCTTGAACTTACCTGAAATGCATAATTGAAGGTGTTTGCGTTTCATGCTTGGAACCTTTTAACATCGTAACATTTGTGCAAATTGATTTCAATAATCATATCTCCGATATCTTAATTCTTATTGTGTAAAAATTCGGGGTTTTTATCGGCAAATAACAGCGCGATGGTTAACTATGAACCATTTCAGTAAGTTTATTATCTAAACGTTTAACAGAAAAATAACTTAATTTTCGAGGTCATTATGTCGGTTGCAGAAATACGACCATTCGGGTTAATCTGACGTGTCATGTTATACAATTTGCAGGAAACAATAAGTATTCACTAATCCTAATTTCAAGCGTTTTGGTTGAATATGATGCTTGCAAACGTCCTAAAATGAAACATGGCGCGCTTCGCCCGACCTCTGAATCACTTTTTGCTATTTCAATATCAACAAAGTTTACATTGCCTTTATAAATATGCCTTGGCAAAAGTTGACGATCTTCCTAATCGAAGGATGTTTTTTTTTTTAATTTTCCAATTAATATGACGAGAGAAAAACGAAAATAAAGATCGTGAATTCTGACAGCAATATTTCAGTACGTGCAAAGGTCACCGGATGTGATGTCACAGACAGGGATTGTCTGCTGTAATTTTTAGTACCAAAACAATTACAGTAAATTTTAAACTATTTCGCCTATCACATACAGTAAAAACATAAGTCAATACATAGTATCAGTAATCACCACTGATATGAATAAAAATGCGACTTTGACGATATAATTGGCGTATTATTTAATCCGTTTGACCTTGCATGCTCCCGTGACCCGGAAACGGTAGACAATA